CTCGTCGCCACTTGGCTTGGCCGGCTCGGAAAGCGTCCTGGGCTTCTGGAGCGCGTGGGGTCTGTGTGGGGCCGTTCTCTGGATCGCGTCAGGAAGGGCTGGGCGTGGGTGCGGGGGCCTCTCAGCGCACTGCAGGCAACTTTAGTCCACCTTGGATGGCAGGTGCCCAGCCCTCGTACCTTTTTCAGCCCGTCCGGAGAGGAATTTGCTCTAGTGGATGGTGGTGACAGTCCTGCCACGCAGCTGCTGCAGGATCTAGATGACACCATCGAGACCAGTCATTGGATAGAGGCCTCGAAGTTTTATCTCGGCAAAGGTGCTGAGCGAGGGGTCTCCTGGCAGCATGTAGGTGAGCTCACTAGGCATTTAGTCAGCGAAGGTCAAGCTGGCCTTGCCGCCATGGTGAGAGTTGTTGCCTGCGGCGGTATTTGGCCAGAAGAAAGAAAGCATGAATGCGCTCTCGTTCCTGATCCCGTGTGCCAGCGCTGCCTGAGAGATGCCGAAACACCCAAGCACCGAATTTGGCAATGCCCGTGCAATGCCGATAGCGAGCTTGTCAGGGTCCAGGTCAGCGAGCATTTAAGGCATCAGGCTATCGTCGAATTCGACGCTTGCCCAATATTTTGGGGACGGGGGCTCATACCTCTTGATTGGTTCTCCCTCCCTCCTCCGCCTGAGCAGCGTTTCCTCGAGTACCACGGGTATGAGCCCTCGGAACCCTTCCCTGGAGGCATTTACGGGGCTGACGGTGCAGGAGGTCCTTGGTCGAAGCATCCTGTGCTGCGCCGGGTGGCTTTCGCTTTCGTCAGGCTTGCCGTTTTTGGGGATGAATTTTATTGGAGCCATGGGGTCACGGGTTTGGTCGAAGGCAAAAGGCAAACGGTCCCAAGGGCTGAGCTTACAGGCCCAATTGAGGCCGTTCGCCATGTTGCCAAGAATGAAGACCTGACTCTTGTGTGTGATCATATAAACCATGTGAACGCCTACCAGAAAGGAAGGCACCATACCTATCGCCTTGCAAATGCAGATCTGTGGTGGGAGTTCTGGCTCCTTGTTGATCTGCGCACGGGTGAAACTCATCTTGTGCATTGCCCTTCCCACCTTGATAATGATGACAAGTTTCGCAGGTTTTGGCGCACGTCGGTCGCAGAGCATGTTTATGTCAATCGTGCTGCGGACCATCTCGCTGACCAGCGTGCCGGGGCTGCTCAGATCCAGTCTCATATCTGCCGGGAGGTGCTTGCACTTGAGGAGAAGGCGAAAGATGTCCTGCTGCGTGCGGCTTTCCTCACTGTTGCGATAGCGTCCCGCCGGAAGGATCGTTCGCGCGTTGTCGCTAAGAGCATCGTGGACCGTAAAGAGAAGGCCAAGCAGCGCAGGCTTGAATTCATTCGAGCCTCTTCTCACCAGTTTCTTAATGTCACGGGCACTTCTTGGAGGTGCTTTGGGTGCGGGCTCCATGCCCGTGAGAAGGCGAGAGGTTTCCGGGACTCCGTTTTGTCGGCTTGCCCCGCCCGTGCTCCCAGGCCTCCCGTCCCGCTCCCCAGGGTTGTTCCTTCCCTGGAGCCCGAGGCCCCCGTTGATGAGTGGCTCTGGCGCCGTTTGGGTTTGGAGGATCCGCCCCAGAGAGTTGCCCACCCTGCTTTTATAGGGGGACAGCAGTTGAATTCAAGTCACGAGCTCTGGTTTAAAGGGCGCTTTGTGTTTTGTGGTCTGTGCGGGTCCTGGGCCGCCCAGCGACCAGTCAACCTTCTGATTGGTTGCTCTGTGGCCCTGGAGGGCCCACACAAAATCTCCCCGAAGCAGTTGCAGGCGCTCCAGCGAGTACGCAAGGGTAAGCCACCTCAGCAGACTGCCTCATCTTGGGGCGAAAATTGTACCCTGGAGCTTTGATTTGTTTCACCGTCAAGTTTGAACCTGCTGGCAGAGTTTGGCTTGATGATGCACACTGTGAAAAAATCCTCCTCCTCGTCCTCCTCAGCACCATCGTCCCCATCGTCCCCCTATCATCCCGGACCCACGTCCGCGCGCGTGGTCGTTTATCACACCAGTTTTGAGCAGCCCTCCGCTCGTCGCTTTCTTACCCCAGACTTGTGTTCCAGGACAGTCGGTTACCAGCTTGACGGCTTGACTTGGTTGCCCGATCGATCTCCTCTCCCGTCCTGTTTGCTTTGCTGCCATCAAGTTCAGCAGACGGTGTGTACTGTACTGGCTTACCGGATATACAAGTGCCACACGAATGCCCAGGGCCATACAACAGTAATTGCAGCACGCAAGCATCGCAGCAACATGGACACGAAGGGGAACGTGACGCCAGATCCGAGGATGAGGAGGAAGGAGATGGAGAAGCAGAGCAAACTAGACAGGAATATCATGAGGATCACCAGGGGATTAGGGGGAAGGAGGTACAAGAGCGGGATCGCAGAAGAACCGACCTCCGTGACAAGGTCCAGCTCGCTACAGCACTTCGTGGGGCTGATCGTACCGGGGATATGTTTGGTGAAGTGCCTCGTCGCGTTCGGAAATGCCCCCCCCACCCTCTTGCCCATGATTCCTGCTTCCCTGATTTTGCTCGGTCTGTGAAGAAACGTGCAAGGCGATGGCTGTGTTGTTCGTGGTCGCTGATTTGCAAATCCTTTTGTCAGACATTGTGGACGTCTGCTGGATTTCACTGCCGAAGCGCTGCTTTCGAGTTGTGACGGTCGTGACGACCAGTCGCATTGTCTGCATTGTCGTCGTGATACTGGTTTCTTCTCCTTTCGGGCTCGCCCTCTCTTACCTCTTGGCTCCGCTACCTCTTCCGCAGTCGCTGCTGTGTTGACGGCCGTGTCCCTGACACGAAACGCGATGTCGTTTGGTGTATGCTGGGCCCCACTCTCATGAGCTATCCCCGTCCTCATGGTCCGTTCTCGTCGTCTTCCCTCCTCCCCGTCCTCGTCGTCCGTCGTCGTTGTCGTCACCGTCGTCGTCGTGCTCCTGCCCCTCATACTCCTCTTGCCCTTCGCTACCTTTTCGTCCGCGACAGTATTCCTTCCCAACAGCCCCTCCCTCCTTCCTTTCCCTCCTCCCTCATGGCCGTCTCCTTCTGCTACGCCAGCTGTTCTGGTGGGAGGCGAAGTATGAGTGTGGGAGGATGAGGTGGAGCACGCGAAGGAGAAGGCCGCCCTCCCTTTCCGCAATATCCCCCATCCCTTCTCCATCACTGCCCTCCTTTTGAGGCTTTCGACACATCTTCTGTAGCAGCAGGAATCCTTCTGCGGCCCTTCCAGGCCATGGCATCTTCATGGCTTCTCTCCTCCTGAGCCTCCTTCTCCTTTTCGTTTTTGTCATCCACTCCGTGCCCTCCCCCTCGCTGACGACGGCGGGAAGGACGAGGATGGCGGCAGCGGCGCCGACGACAACGCCGACGACGATGGCGGCGGCGGCGACGACGACGACGATGGCCACGGCTGCGCCCCGGGCCTGCTGCGGACTCTCCCTCCTCCTCTCGAGGGCCTCGGAGGGGGCCGCCCGCCCAGGGACCTCCGAGTTGCCTCTGCACTCTTCCGAGAACGTCAGACGCCTTCCTCCTCATGCGTCGTCGTCCTCCTCCTCCTCCTCCCTCCTCCTTCTCCTCCTCCTCCTCCTCCTCCTCCTCCTCCCAATCCTCCTCCTCCTCCTCCTCCTCCTCCTCCTCCCTCCTCCTCCTCCTCCTCCTCTCCTCCTCCTCCTCCTCCCTCCTCCTCCTCCTCCCTCCTCCTCCTCCTCCTCCTCCTCCTCCTCCTCCTCCTCCTCCTCTCTCCCTCCTCTCCTCCTCCTCCTCCTCCTCCTCCTCCTCCTCCTCCTAGAGGCTCCCCAGCCCCCAGAGGCTCCTGGAAGCTGGTCTCCACGTGCTCCAAAACGCTCTACTGGTACAGTGCCTCAGGGGCCTTCGAGCGCACTCCCGGGGCGCCGTCGAGGGACCTCTGGCGGCCTCCGGAGGCCTCTGGAGGCCTTGGTCTGCCGGGCTTGCCTGGCGGCTTCTGGAAGCTGGCCTCTGGAAGCTGCGTCCCAGAGGTCAGGAGCAACGTCCCAGAGGGCAGGGGCAACGTTAGGGGGGGATAGTCAGGCCCGGGGGGGTGCATCGAACCCCAATCGCTCATTGATCGCCGATACGGGCGCGATGACCCACCCCGCCTAGTGGAGCGTGCGGATTCCTATCGGGCGCCTATCGCGGACCTATCGGAGATGCATCGCCGATTCACGCTCGACGTTTCCCCTGTCTGAGCTGGTGGGAGGCATTCTCGGAGAGCGGCCCAAGTCCCAAAGCGGACCGCCGACCCAGAGTCACCTGTGTCTCGCAAGACGGTGGGGCCACCGCACCGCTGGGCCTTCGAGGGACCTTCGCCAGGCGGGCCTAGGATGAGGATGACTCGCTCCGGGGCGTTCTGGAACGCTCTTGAAGGGCCGCGGCGCCCGGTACATCCTCTGGAGCCGCGATCCCCGATTGTCTCCTGGTCCGATGTTGCCGCAGTCCTGGCTTCGTCTTGCCAGGGGCCCGAGCCCCTTCTCTCAGCAGGCGCTGTCTTCCAGTAAGAGTCAGTCGTTGAGCCTCAGATCGCGCAATGGGCTGCGCCACCCATGGCTTGCGCCATGGGTTGCGCTCTCGGCTGCCGAATGCGAGAGGGCCTGCTTGCCTGCTACTGACTGCGCCGTGGCTTGCGCCCTCGGCCTCTTTCCATCAAACGGCTTGATATTGGTTGTGCCACAGGTTTCGCTCTCGGCTGTCGAACGTAGGCCCGCATCCGAACTTATCCTCGTCCTCCCCACCGTCTTACTTCGAGGGACCCTCGCGGGGGGGCCTTCGAGGGCGCCGAGGCGGGGAGGGGGGGGAGGGGAGGGTCCTCGCGGACCCTCGCGGGGCGGGACGGGGAGGGGGAGGGGAGTGGGAACATCGAGAGATCCTCGCGGGGCCCTCAAAAGGGCCGGGCATGGCATGGCAGGGCGGGGCAGGGGAGGGGGGGGGCGGCGGGCCCTGCCAGGCCTGCTGCGCGCTCGCCGACGTGCAGGGGCGGGCGGCCTACGGCGGAGCCGCGGCCCGCGGCAGGCCGTCGGAGGCCCTCCCCTCCCTGCCCGCCCGCCTGCGCGCCGCCAGCGTCGCCGCCGCGCCGCCCCGGCTGGCGCGTTTGCAAGCATGACAACTCGGAGGTCCGCGCGGATTCCCGGGATCGGCGCCGGACCCCCCTCCCTGGCGCCGGGGGCGCGCGAGGGATCCGCGAGGACCTTCGAGTTTGCATGTTTGTGTCATCGCTGGTTCCCCCAAACTGGCCCTGGGGCATCTTCTCAACTGTTGTTTCAGCAACGCCGTTTCGAAGCGGTTGGCCTGGTTTGCAGGCCCAGCTCTCGGCTTCAGAGCGGCTTATGGGGATCAGTATGCTGAAACGAGCCAGGCACGGGGAAGTCGGCAGAATTAGAACGGCGGCGGGTTTGCCAGCGGAAGTTGGAGGCAAGCCAGCGGAAGACGGCGAAAAAAGAAGCGAGTTTCCATTTTTGGGGGTGTCGGCCAGCGCGTGGCCCGCTTGCTGAAGGACAGGGGTCCCGCGCCCCTTGGTGCGGCAGCAGCGGCTTGGCCGCGTCGTCAGCGACTCTCACTCCTCTTGCTCGGCACGCCTCTCTGTCGGGCTCCGCCGCGATTGGTATAACAATCAGCGCACCCCTTCACAACGGTAATGAAGCCCAGTGGGCCAAGCGCTGCAGGCGGATCAATTAATGAAGCCCAGTGGGCCAAGGGTTACAGGCGGATCAATTTACTGCAGGCCTATGCTATGTGGCCGCCGTTGTTTGGCTTGAGGCGCTTGGGAAGGCGACATGTCGTAGTCGCCCGTACATCGATGTATGGGCATGTAACATATGGGTTTCTGAGGTTTATTAGATTTGTGGGAGGTGGGCCCATGCGAGTTTGCCCTCAGTTACGCGGTAGCATATTCGATACGTGGTCAGGTATATGCCTTCTCATGGGCCATCCGTTTCATCACATTGTCTTACGCCATCATGTTTTAAGTGTTGCTGGTGTTACTGTCTGATGAGTTTTACTGTAGAGTGCGCTCCCAGATGCAGCGTCACCAGTGGCCAAAGTGTAGCTGAGGAGAACAAGAGAAACACCAGATAATGCGTGACAGGGGCAGGATGATGGGGAGGAGGAGGAGGGGGAACGGAAGGAATGTCAGTGCTGCGTCATTCAGGCATGAGCTTCCATCACCAGAAGCTGAGGGGAAACGGGTTTCGGTCAGCGGGGCGCACCAACCACGTTGCCTGAAGCGGGGGAGATGTACGGAGTCGCGGTGCCTAATGTGGAGTGCATGCGGACACTCCTCCCCCGTGTGACCGCATCATTGTCTATCACTCCCTCCCCACCCCGATTGCCGCATGCCGCCTCAGGTTTTAGGGGGCGGCATCCTTAAAGAAGCGAACCTTCTAGTAGAGGGATTGAGAAGGCGAAGGATTGGGACGGCGGGAGGGGGGAGTGGGAGGTAGGGGAAGGGACATATGCTTTAAGCCCCTCGTGTTGTTGACAGCACTCACGCACACACACACACACACACACACACACACACACACACACACGCACACACACACATACACACAAACACACACGCACACACACACACATACACATACACACACGCGCACACACACACTTTTGATCCGCGGGTCGAGAGCGAGCCTCTTCCGGTCGAAGCTAAGCGGGCCGCGCGCAGCTTTAACTGACAGAGGAGGGAAGGCAGAAGGAGGGGCCTCACGTCAAGGCCAAAAGAGGGCAAAGCCCAGGAATCAGGCGGTGTCGAAGGCGATGTGCATGCAAAGGAACGCCTCGTACAATAACCACACACACATAACGAATGCGCTTGCGTTCGAATCAGGCCGCTTTGGGAGACGCAGTGCGGACATCGCAGCAGTCACGTCTCAACGTGTTGGCTTGGGCTTGGACACTTTTCAAGCGCGGCCCCAAGTGGGGCTGTATCTCTTCCAAAATAGCGCGGGACCTTGACAAGAAACCAAGGTGGTTTCCTCCGATGCCAGTTTGATCACCTCCAGGTCGACACAGCACCAGTTGAATAACACATTGGGTCATGAGGTGCGCCACATGCAGGCCGCTCCATCCATGGGGTGCGACACATGTTGCGCCACCGATCGGTTTCGCCACATTGTGCGCCATGGGTTTCGCCAAGGTTTGTGCCATCCATGGGTTTCGTCCCAGGTTGTGCCACGCAATGTACCATCCGTGCGTGGCGCCATTGGCTGCATCCCAGGCTGCGTCATCCATGAGTGCCGTCGTGGGTCTCGACACAAGGTTGTGTCTCGGGTTCGGCTTCAGAGGGTTGTTGTGGATCGAAGACGCCTACGGCCAACCACCGCCGCCCCCTGCCTTTTGGAAGCGCCCATGTGGCCGAACGTTGCGGCCAGAGCTCGGCCACGTTATCGGACTATGTTTTCCCCCTGCTGGTGTGGAAACCTTTTTGGGTGGCACGACGGGGAGAATGAAAAAGAGTAGGAATGGAAGGAAGAAGGAGGAAGAGGACTCGTGGAAGCCTCTTCGGGCACTCTTTGAGCCTCCTGGGAGCTTCCCAGGGGCCTCTTGGAGGCCTCTTGGGGATTTCTCTGGCCTCTTGGGGTGGGGGCTTTTGGAGGCTCCTTGGGAGGCTCTTTGGCCGTCTGAGGGTCTGGCTCGTTTGACGCCGTCGTGGGAGCCTTTCGTGGGAAGTCTCGTTGGACGCCGTCGTGGTCGGAATCCGTCGTGGGAGCCTTTCTGGGCCAGCCTGGGGCCTTCTTGGAGCGCTTCAGGGCAGTCTTAGAGGCCATCTTGGGCGTCTTGGAAGTGTCCTGAGCTGTCTTGGGGCCCGCTCAGGTCCGTCTTGGGGGCTTCTTGGGCCGTCAGTGGGCCATCTCGGTGGTCTTTTGGTGGTCTCTTGGGCCATCTTGGTGGCCTCTGCAGTCACCTTGGGCCGTCGGAGGGCCGACAAGGATCAACCGCCCAAATCCTGCAACCACATAGAGCACAGCAATGAGTTTGGCCTCGTCGGCCCTTCCTGGAGGACCTCTTGGAGGCCTCTTGGGGGCCTCTTGGGCCGTCTTGGGCCATCTTTAGGCCATCTTAGCCCTTCTTGGCTGCATCGTGGGCCGTTTGGGAGGCATCTTGCGGCTACCTTGGGGAGCTCTTTTGAGGCCATTTTGGCCGTCTTGGAGGCCATCTTGAGCGTTTTGGGGGCCCTTCGGCCGTCTGTGGATATCTTTGGGCCGTCTTGAGGGTTTTTTGAGCCGTCAGGGAGCCATCTTGGAGGCCTCTTAATTTGGTGATCTCGGAGCGGTCTTAGAGATCTATTGGGCTGTCTTGGGCCGTCGGAAAGCCGAAAAGGATCAAACGCCCAAATTCTTCAAATCCCAAGGGCTATTCATGATTTTGGCTTCTCGCGCCCTCTTGGACCGTCATCTTGGCCCGTATTGGGGCCTTCTGTGCTTCGGCAAATCACCACGGCAGCCGGTCACCATAAGTTCGTGCCCTCGTGCGAGACGAAGGGCAACACGGCAGACCCGCTGCCAGGTGGGTATCTTGGGACGGTCCAACACACACCCCATCACCACTTGGGCAGAGCACCAGCCGAACCAGGAAAAAGGGCTGGGAGGGCGGGCGAAAACCCAATCGTTTTTCCATTGTCGCCGCGGTTGCCTTGTCCATGCAATCCGCGGCGACCTGTGGACGTCGGCTCGCCTTCTGGCTTGACGGCGGCCGACCCCCTTCGAATGTCTGCGCCGAGTCGCGCGGGTCTGCCCTGTCCAGGCAGAGCCCCGTCCCTTGTCCAGGGACTGCGGCTGTCGCGTGAGTTTGCCCTGTCCAGGCAGGGTCCCGTTCCTTATCCAGGAACTGCTGCTGCCTTGGGTTTGCCGTGTCCAGGCAGGGACCAGCCCCCTTACCCGGGAGCCGAGCGCAGGCGCGAACGCTTAGTACGCAAGGACCTTTTTGCCGTTGGCTTCCCTGAGCGCTCCCCGCCGGGGAGCCGAGCGAAGGCGCGAGTGCGCGGTGCACGAGGGGTGTGCCTTTGGCTCAGCTGGGCGGCGGCAGCAAAGCGGTGGCGACAGCGAAGCGGCGGCGGCAGGGCGAAGGAGGGCGGAGAGGCCGCAAGCCGACAGTCGCCGGCTGAAGGCGAAGAGGCAGAACAGGCGAGGGTCCAGGAGCCTGCTCCTCGCGGTTGTCTTGCCCCAGAAATCAGAGATTGAGGGATCATGAGAGGAGGCCCAGGAGTTCCAAGAAGATTTGTCCGAAGCCAAACTGCGTTGACGCCTTGGCGCGCCAAGAAAAATCGATATCTATGGGTCCAGGCCGGTCGGAGCTTTGCTCGGACCGACGCTTGCCTTGAGATGCCCTCTCGAAGGATTTTGGAGGCGCGTGCGGTTCGCGCCCGACATTGCCGGTGATGTATGGATTGCAGCGCGATTTGGATCCTTAGGACCACATTCGCTTTCAAGGTGAGCAGCTCGCAGTTCAATCATTCTTAGTATTGTTGATCGTGCTTGAAGCTGCTTGTGTTTTTGTATGCCCAGGACAGAGTTCCTGCTCTCCCGTAGCGCCGCACCGTGGGCGCTCGCACCCACAGTGGCCGCGTCGAAATGGAAGCAGCAGGCCAGGCATTCCGGAAGATTACGAGAGCTGTGCTCGGTCCGACGCGTGCCCTGAGATGCCCTCTCAAAGCATGTGGGAGGTGCGTACGGCTCGCGCTCGACATTGCGCATTCGCGTTCAAGGTGTGACGGTCCTTGGAAGAACGCCGCGCCTCGTGCGAACTCCGAGAACCCAGCGGCAACCCACTGTCTGGCAGCCGCCGGGTTCTGTCGCTCGCATACAGGGTCGGCGCTGTTTTTATCAAGCTTAGCTTGCCAGTTTCGCGTCAAGCTTTGGCTCTTCGCAGCAGCTCGCAGTTCAATTGTTCATATGTCTGTTGATCGTGTTTGTGCTGTGTACGCCCAGAATTGAATTCCTGCTGTTCCTGAGCGCCGCACCGTGGGTGCTTGCACGCACAGTGACCGCGTCGGAATGGAAGCAGCAGGCCAGACATTCTGGAAGATCACCGGAGCTTTGCTCGGACCGGCACGTGCCTTGAGGTGCCCTCTCAAAGCATGTGGGAGGTGCGTACGGCTCGCGCTCGACAGCGTTTGTGAATATCAGGAGGACGGCAGGGCGATTTGGATTGGTAATAAGGCCACGTTCGCGATCAAGGCGTGATGGTCCTTGGAAGAACGTACTGCCGCGTGCCAGCTCCGAGAACCCAGTGGCAATCCTCTGTCTGGCAGCCTCCGGGTTCTGTCGCTCGCATATATGGGCGGCGCTGCTTTTATCAAGCCGAGCTTGCCAGCTTCGCGTCAAGCTTTGGCTCTTCGCAGCAGCTCGCAGTTCAATCGCTTCCACTTTTGTCGATAGTATTTGTATGAGGGGGAGGGACAGGACGACGACGAAGTGCGGCGTCAAGAGACGACTCATGACGAGAAACGGGTCCTGGCGAACTGGCGCCAGACCTGCAGGGGCCACGCTGTGTGCAAGACCCCATATTCCCGTCTTCGTGATTTTTGTCTCAACGTGGACCGCCCGAGGTGTCGACCCACTCCCTAGGACCGGCTTCTCTTCCTGAGCCATTTTTCGACGGTCCCGGGGCATGGCGAGGGGCCGAAGACAGCTGGAAACCTCTCGTCCACTCTTTTGTCACGACGCCGGGGCCTTTGGGGACGGCGACGCCGCGCAGCCTGGCGCAGGCGTCCAGCGACGACTCGGCCGAGGAGCCGGAGGCCGTTGCGGAGCCCGCAGGCGCCGGCTTCGCTGGCGGCGGCCCCACGTCGGAGGTCCAAGAGGGCGAGGTGGATCTCGTGCGGCTGGTGCGCGCTTCGTTCGTGCCCGACCGTAGCGAGGAGGGTACGGAGGTGGCCATGGGCGGAAGACTCGCCCCCACCTCTTCTCGTCGCGGAAACAAGCGAATTACGACGGGAGGTGCTTGGAAGTTTGGGGCCTTTCGGGACACTCACGGGGCCTCGGCACCGTCGAAGAACCTGAGATGGAAACCTGGTCCCGGGGAAGGGGTCAAGACTTTTGGAGGTCGACGTGGGATCTTGGGAACATTGATGTCCACGGCCTCGCGGTCCAGAGGCCTCGGCCGTGGCCCCGTGGGTGCAGGGCGGCTCTGCGTGGATGCCCCGAGCTGAAACTATGTCCGTTGCGCACCCCTGGGATCGCGCTTCGGTGCCCAGGCCCTGAGGGCACGGATCGATGTGCACGTGTTCGTCGCTCTTGAGGTGCAGATCACAGTGCAGGAAGGCGAGGTCGTTCGAGTCACGTGGCTGCAGCCGCGCGAGGAGGGTGGCTATTGGGCCTACGTGGAGCAGCCGAAGGGCGCGCAGGGGTACGTGCCCGCCAGCTGCCTGCACGCCGCGCGCGAGGATCCGGCAGAGGCTGGCACGGTGCCGGAGAGCTGGATAGAGAGCTTCCTGCAGCTGGACCTGCCGCCGGAGCGCGCGGACCGCTTCTGGAGGACGTACAGCGACTTGCAGCGGCGGCTGGGCATGATGGAAGCGTGGCTCGCTGCTTTCTCCCAGGCCTGCGACAGCATGCCCAGCGCGGGCATCCTGGTGGAGCCTGCCGGCGGCGGCCCGGACGACGTGCGGGGAGGCTTCGGCCAGGCGTCCGCGGAGGCTCCCACGGGCCGCGAGCTACGGCGGTGGGCGGAGGAGGAGGCCGAGCGTCTGGCGCAGCAGGAGCACGCAGAGCGCCGCAGAGCGGCCCTCGAAGCGCGCCGAGCCCGCCAGGCGTTCCCCGGCGCCGGCGGCCCCGCCGCCCCCGCTGGAGCGGCGGGGTGCGCGAGGCCGAGCGGCGGCGCCGCAGCCTCGCGGCCCGCAGCGGCGTCAGCGTCGGCGGCTGGCAGCGCGGAGCCGCCGCGCGAGGAGACGGCCGCCGCCGCGGCGGCCGCGGCCGAGGCCGCGGTGGCCGAGGGCGAGCAGCCGTTTGGGCATGAGCCCGTGCTGGTGGCCGCCCGCGACTTCGCCGCGGAGGGGGACAGCCAGGTTGGCCTGCGGGCTGGGGACCGGGTCCGCGTGGAGTGGGTCCAGCCGCAGGCGGAGGGCGGCTTCTGGGCCTACGGGGAGGTCGTGGGCGGCGGGGGCGGCCCCGTCGGCTACTTCCCGGCCGCGCACGTGCGCCCCGAGACGGCGGAGGAAGCGGCAGCCTCCCGCGCCGCGGCGCGCGCCTCCGCCGCGCGGGCGGCGACGCCGGCCGCGGCGGCCGCCCCCAGCGCGGCAGCGCCCTCGGCCGCGGCGGCCGCCGCGAAGGTCTCCGCGGAGGCCTCCGCGCCCGCGCCGCTCCACGCCGCGGGCGCGGCGGCGGTGCCGGCCGCCGCGGGCCACTCGTGGGCAGCCCGCGTGGGGGGGCAGCACAGAGGGAGCCAGGTTCGAGGCTGGACGTCTCTGAGGCTCTTTTTGGGGCTTCCTGGAGCGTCCCTGTCGCCACGGCTGGATTGCCCTCGGGATTCTGGCCAGAGCACATCCCAGGGCAGGTCCGGTGTTGTCGACTTTTCAGTGTCGCCGTGAAGATCAGGGCGCCTGGAGTTTCGCGCTGCTTTTCATGCTCCCAGGGCTCCCCGTGCCCGAGGGCCGTCGTAAAACGACTCTGGGTGATCAGCGAGTCCCAGGGAAAGCCTCGGGGTCCATGATCCGTTTCGGTCCCATTTGCTACATGCCAAGGGTGGGCTGGCGGGTGGGCTATAAGAATGTATCACGTCGACGACGGCCAGGACTCTGGAGTCTTTAGCCGCTTCTGGGCCTCGAAAGTGTCCGTGACCACGGCCAGACGCAGCTCAAATTCACGGGGATTCGAACTGGACGAGTTCTGTCCAGACGCCTGGCGACTGTGCAGAATCGCGCTGGATACGTATGTTCCGCCGTTCTCGGTGTTAGGGGGCTGTTGCCGGGGCTCTGGGACCGTTCACAAAATTACGATGCAGGGAAGGGTTCGAGAGCCAGCGACTCGAGCAAGAAACGAGTCGACGCAGGTCTGGGTATTTAGGGCCTGGGTCAGCCAGCCCTCAGAAACACACACGCGCACACAGGAATAATTACACGCGCCCTGGGCGGCCCGTGAGGCTTTGGTTTTCCAGATCAGGCCAGGCCGGTGGAGTCCCTCTTCGGTCGCCGTCGCCGCCCCTTCCCAGGCCGGTTGGGGGTCACTTGTGCTTTCGCGCTGGCTCGCTCACGCGTTCTGTTTTTTTTGTGTGCTGGAGGTTCACCGTCTAGAGAACAATGATTAGTGATGTACGGGGTATTTGCCGGGCACCCGGCGCGGGTGACATGGTGTGTCGACAGCGATGTTCACGTTCGAGAGCGGGTTGGCTTCTGAATCTGGGTTGCTACTGACCCACCTAATCCGCTCCCGCCTGGGACTTCCGCACAACTTATCAAGCATCCCGCTCTCGCCTCGGAGGTGTTCACAATCTAATTCTGAATTGCGATCTCGCTCGAGGTTTCTCTTTCGTTCAAACTGCTGAGGAATCGCGCTGTTGATTCGCTTGGGACTTTCTAACAGTCCTCTCAGGGACTGCGCTTTCCCCACTCAGAAGTCCCCTTGAAGTCCCTCGCGTCTTGTTGAAGAGTCGCGCGCTCGCCGCAGCGCAAGCGGACGGGGGGCTCCCATCCGAGGGGCCTGTTGCAATCTGCAGGTCCTGCCGCCCTACTGCTCCTGCCGCAGACCCCTGCTTCATGAGCGCATCGTGCCCTTATGTTGTCACTGTACCTCAAGCAGTGCTTGCACTGCGGGCATCGTCTCGTCGTCCACAACATAGTTTGCGCTATAGCGTGCGCAGCATAGCTTGCACTTCCCATATCACATGCATGCGCAATTATGCGGTTCAGTCTTCGCTTGCATGCACCGCATGTTGCGGCATATTCCTTGATCAAGACAATTCGCTCGGGGATTCTACAATCATCACTGCTTGAACTCTGCAGCGTCTGAGCACCACTGACTGTGAGCACCCAGGCGCCTGATCGCAAGTACTGATAAACGGCACAACGACGCAGAGCACCTCATGATCAGCTTAACGGCACGTTCCAAAATGTCCCCGACAGGGTCCAACACGGCAGTAAATTATCCCAGTGCATTCACAACGTGGTTCGGTTTGGAAGGGGGGCGGCGAGGGCGCAGCCCTCCACAACATTTCGTCCAAGTGTTTCGCACGATCGACCAGCGCCGTCCTGCGTTAAATGGCAAGATGTGTAACACTGCGCGCCAATGCAGCGAACACGTACCCGCCCTCAAAGCAGCACATGCGAGGATAATGCATCCTTCGAACCTATATTGTATATGTCGTGCTCGCACAAGCGCACCACTGTTGACAGGGTATCACACGCCAAGGGCTCATGCTCTTCTTGTCTCGAACCGTATCCCCACCAATTTTGAAAGGATGTCTCGGGCGACTTGCGTTTGTCGGACCTGTTTGCAAACAAATTCAAGTCATGTCTTCGAGGACGTTCCACGCGAATCGCTCATTGCACTATGGTTTCGAACCAGGCGCACATGCATTGTGAGAGGACCTCCGACGCAATTCCTTTGATGCCAAGTCATGTTGCGAGGAAGTCCCGCGCGAAACGCACACATTTTCAGTTGTTTCGAACGGTGGTCGAACATGCTTCTCGACGACGTTCCGCGCGAGGTGCTATTTTTTCATCGTTTGGAACCGAGGCCGAACCTGGTTCGAACCTGCTTTTCGAGGAAGTCCCGCACGATTCGCTCAGCTTTCGATTGTTTGGAACCGAGGCCGAACCTGGTTTGCACTGGCTTTCTGAGGAAGTCCCGCACGCGACACCCACTTGTCTTATTGTTTGGAGCCGACATTGGAACCTGGTTCGAACCTGCTTTCTGAGGAAGTCCCGCACGAGACGCCAACTCTTCTATTGGTTTAAACCGACGTCTAAGTTTTTGAGCCGAATCTCAACCTTGCCAGCTTTTTGTTTGGGAGGAGGCCCCAAGCAGTTCGCCCGTTTGGAACCGTCATACCATTCAGCTCTTAATCCACTTGAAGTTGCAAGCCCGAGGTTGCCCGCCCCCCGCCGACGCAGCTACAGCCCCGTCACATTATACCAGGCTCCGCTCTCCTACGGGGCACTTCCGATAGACGCTGGGCCAGCCTGTCAGAAGTGGGCGATCTTTCATCACGTCGTAGTAGCTTGCACCGCATTGCTCATACCGAGAATGCCGCCCCCCCGCAACAAAAGCGTTGTCGTTCGACACTTGCTTACTCTTCCCTCAGGAATAATGGCGCTCTCGCCTCGGCGCTGGCTGCCTGCGGACTTGTCGTTAACGTTGCTGCGGAGCCAGGTTGCTCAATCTAGCTTTCGGTGGCCATGCACACTTTTTTTGTTCGACGCCTCCTTAGCGCAACAGAAAGAAACTTCTTCGGCCAGAGGCTCCAAGCTGCCTCAGAGTCGTTGAGGAGCCTCTCCTTGGCGCCCTGGCGTTTCTCCCGAGGGCTCCGAGGCCAGATGCCTTACGGCCTCCACCAAAAACTCGGAGGCCAAACCCAGTGGCTTTGAGACCGACGGCTTCGAGGCGTCTCACAGAGGCCCTGAGGCTTCCCCCAGGAGACTCACAGCCTGTCCCTGAAGCTCTGGGGATCCCCCTATTGGTTCTGAGGCCTCTCCCAGAGGTGTAAGAATTTCTTCGCGTGGTGAAAATAGAGTCCTACTATGGGCAGGGCAATTGAGACGGCGATTTGTCATGTTAGCTGAAGATGGCAAGTGCCCCGGATTAGGTGATTAAATGGAGACGGCCATGTTGGACGCATGTTGCACATGGAAGCGTTCAGCATTGATGGGGAAAATAGTCTAGTTGACTATCATGTCTTTGGAGGGCAGCAATTGGGCTTCTCTTGTCGATTGACCCGACATCTACTAGGCGCTTTCGCTTCGGCACGGGCAATACTTTCTTTGAAAGCAAGGCTCACGCTGATTTCAGATGTGCGCCCTTCAGGGCCCCGATCAACAACTGCTCCTACTAGATATCGCACCGCAGTTTACGTTGGAATCCCGATCTCGCCTTAGTTTTCCCTTCACTTTGCTCGGGGCGCCTCCGACTGGGACTTGCTTCCAATTTTATCAAAGGTTGCGCTCTCGCTTGAGATGTCCTCGCCCTTGACTCGGGTTTCGCGCTTTCGCCTGAGACGCCCTTTCGGTTTGCATCGGGCGTAGCGCTCTTGCCTCTGACTGCCTGGGGGCTCCCATTCGCGAAATGGTGTGTGTTCAAGCTTCTGAGCCTTACACTTCCTACCGCGGACCCCCGTTCGCTCCTCATCTCCCTCCTACCCTTCCCCCCGTCTTCATTTCTTCCCTCCTTTTTCCATCCATCCCACATCCCTCCCTGACCCAGTTTAGGGTACGCGTTCTGCGTTCTCATGCCGTCTCCCTTTCTATTTGGAAAAGTCCTGGGAGCTGGCATGAAGTACGAGCCCCCCCAAACAGGGACGCCCATGTACTCAGAGGGCGGGCGCAAGGGAGAGGGAGCAAAAGATGAAGGTCAAGGTAGTCCACATGTGCATAAGATGATTGTTGTTGTCGTCTTTGATGCCACCACTCATGTACCCTGACGCGCGTATCCGCTACCGTGCTCTGGAAGTGAGGGTGGATGGGGGCCGGGGCCAGGGGAGGTGGGAGCACGCAACGTCCCACTCAGAGCATGTGCATTCGGCACAAACTCTCCTTCGGAGGGCCCCATCGCATTTCAGCGTCAAGCCCCTGTCGGAAGAATGCGCTGGCCTCGATGCGCTCGGATGGGCCCAGCGTGTAACCGTTTCGCGCGAGGCAAGGTGACGCCGGCGATCTCTCGCTCCCAGTCCCCGAGCTTCCTTCCAAAATATTGGTCGCTTAGGAAAGAGGGGAGGCTCCCCGGGGGGCCATTCGGACACACCCCTATCCAAGACGGACGCCCCCCTATCGCACATCCTCAAGCTGGGCCCAACTTCTGTGGCCAGTCGAGTCCCAGAAAAAGCCCCGGACTGGCGTCGCCATGCCCCTCCGTGAAGGCCCGACGCATTCTGGGCAGCAGCGCAGCGCGGTGGGCAGACTGCCCACCCTGCTCCTGGCCTGCCCCCCTGGCCTTGCAATGCCTCAGGCGCCCTGGCTTGTGCGAGGCTCCCTGTCCAGGCACCGTCCGTGTGGGCAACCTGCCGTGCTCGGTGTCAGGCTTCGCAGTCTTGCTCACCATCGGTTCAGCGCCGTTGAGGGGGGCCTCCTTCTTCGGCAGAGCACCGCGTCCGCGCTCATGCCACCTCTCTCCCACGGAGCCGGCAAGGTGGAGGCAGCGCCGCGCGGTGGGCAAGAGCAAGCAAGCTGTCGGCGCCAGCGCCGGGGACGCGGCGAGCGTAGCTGCCGGCGCTGGTCCTGACGGCGCGCCTGGCGCCGCCGACGCCGCCAGAGGCTGCGACGCAGCCGCCGGCTCGCCGGGACGGGCAACTCTCGGCGGCGGTCGTGACCCAGACTTGAACGCATTGGCAAATTCAAGACGGAGCTCTTTCGTCGTTTTCGGCGTCTGGGGGCCCTCGCCAAGCCCCAGGGCCATCAAAAAACGATCCGCGGGACGACAACTTTGTCCCTGGGGTCCAGAGCTCTGGGGTCCCTGCATTAAATAAATCAAGACGTCGGAGGTCTGGGGAGGAGGGCATGGCCAGGGGGGGATCCTAAAGAGTCGCCCTCCGAGGAGATTCCTTGCTTTCCTGGAGACCCTCCTCTGGGGCAGCCTCTGGCTGGGAGGGGGGGCCGAGCCCGTCTGGAAGGCCCCTGGGCCCGCCCTGTCTCATCGAAGGGCCGCCCCCCTCGCCTGGCCCCCTCGCGCGCCGCCAACATAAGTGTTGGCATCCCTTGTCCCGAGAGCATCAGACGGCCGTGTCTCGGGGCCCCCAGGCCTCTGTAACTCGACGCGGGCGCGTTGCGCGGGTTGTCGGGCGGCGCGCGGGGGGTGGGGAGGCAAAGCCAAGCACGCATACGGAAACCGCGCACCAAAGGTAACCCGTGCCTGGGGTTATTCTTACTTGCAGCCGAAAAGACGGGTCGAGATCTCGCGTAGCGGTTCTCTCATGGCGTCGGAGGCCTGCAAGGTAAAGTTTTAGCACGATGGCGTTGGGTTCCTCTCACACCTCGCAGGGGTCTGGGGGGGAAGGGCGGCGGTCCGTGCTGGGATCTGCACGCCCGGAATGGGCACGGAAAGAATGGGTACAGTGCCCAATAGCAGTACCGTTTCATTTTCAACAGGATTCGCTGTCCGCGCCGCCGCGGCCTGTGTCCATTTGAGACAGAAGGCCGCCTGCCCAACAGCGGCCGCTGTTGGTTTGGGGCAACATTTGTTGTTGGGCATTGTACCCATTTTTCCGTACCCGTTCCGGGCGTCCAAATGGGAGGCGGTGGGAGGGCGAGAGTTGTGATGCCAAATGAGCTACAGGAAAAGATTACGAAACTAGTGAAAAAGTACCGGCAACTTAGTGCAAACATTTTCTCCGAAATAGTGAAAACCTACCCCCCAAATCGGGGAACCTCTGGTGGCGGTCTCTAGGGGAACCTCTCGGGGGCACTGTTTAAGAACAGATCCCCACATGGGCTCACACTGGAACTAGAAAACCCAATTATCATCCGTCTTCGATTCCGTTCTGCTCCACGCATTTTTGGGGATCTTCGGGGAGGGTTGCAAACGACCGCGGGCAAGAAGATCAATGTCGCCACCGTCACTTCATCCGTAACCGTTACCAGTGGTGCTCAATTATGGGTGCGCAGCGCCCGTTCGCTGCGCTGGCAGACGCTGCTGTCGAGGCAGTTTCGCCTTTCGCTGCGCTGGCAGACGCTGCTGTCGAGGCAAGTTCACCGTTCGCTGCGCTGGCAGACGCGGCTGTCGAGGACGCAGTTTCGCCGTTCGCTGCGATTGCAGACGCGGCTGTCGAGGCAGGTTCGCCGTTCGCTGCATTGGCAGACGCGGCTGTCGAGGAGGCAGTTTCGCCTTTCGCTGCATTGGCAGACGCGGCTGTCGAGGAAATTGTTTCGCCGTTCGCTGCATTGGCAGACGCGGCTGTCGAGGAGGCAAGTTTCGCCGTTCGCTGCGATGGCAATCTCTTGTTTGGACTGCCCGCGTCGCAACGCAGGGGTCGCAAGCGGAAGATTGACATATTGATCGCCTCTACCGCTCGGCTTGGCTGCGGTTGCAAATCAACACCAACTGGACGTTGCCGACGCAATGCGCGCACATGCAGACCACCAGCTGCGAGTGCACCGGTATGCTGCGCTTAGGCCAGCGCCGTCGCGTCTCCGACCGAGCGCCGACGCCAGCGCCTACGGCACCGAGAGCATGCCACATGATATAGTACGATCGCTGCTGACGGGGCCAGGCCCCAATATTGTCCAATTGGGCCCTCTTGACAACATTCTGTCTGCGGCGCTGACTACCGTTGCAAGGCTAAGTCACGAATCGGACAGTGCAACTTGACCTTCTCGGAGTTCATGCACGAGCGTCCCCGTCTCAGCATCGTTGCCTCTACCGCCAGTATGACTGAGCAACTCCATATGACCCGCCCCGCTTTCTTGGCCAAGGATATCCGAGTTGCTAGCGCGACGTTGCTATGCTCCTGGAGTGAGAGGAGATCGTTCGAGATTCCGATTGCTCGCGCTGCGGAGCAAGAACAGCTCGATGTTGTTTTCTTATGCGAGGCAGGCCGCATGGACGAAGCCCCGATGAGCACGAGAAGCCATGCTGCAACTGCCCCGATTGGGAACCTTCGCGCAATGGAGAATAGCCAGTCGCCCCAGCAGATCGTTAAGAAGCCTGTCGCCGACAATGCTGATCTGAGGGCATATGGTTTCCAAGCGCCCAAAGGGGGTGGCACTTCGAAAGTTCCCCACGTGGAATGCCTTGTTGGTTATGTCGTTGCCTGGCGGAGATCATCAGGTCAACGAATTGCGCATGCTCTGTTGTTCCGGCAACCTCGCCGGCTTTTCGTCGCGGGCCGCGCGACTGCCGTGAACTTGCGCATGGCGCGTGCGGGGCTGACTCGGCGTGTCTGGCTTTGAAATCTTTCAAGAGGAAGTCGAAGATCGCGCGCGACGACAAAGCTGGGGGCAATCGGCTGTTTGAGCGGGCCCATGCGCGCGACCGTCGCTATGCTGGCTTCGGCGAGACTGCCCGCTTCGACTGCGAGGTGCGCGCGGCAACCACCGTGCACGCGCATGTGTTTCGCCGCATTGACGATGATATTACCGGCCCGAGAAGGATGGCGACGACAAAAACTGCAACGACAACGATGGAGGACGGGGGGGGGGGGGCGGACGGTGGCGGGCGGGCAGGGCGAGGGGGGGCAGGAAACGCAGGGCAGGGCGACAACGACGACGACAACGACGATGGGGGGAATGATGACGAGGAGGAGGAGGCCGAGCAGGGGGGGCGACGACAAGGACGCGGACATCGCAGTGGATTGAGGACGAGAGGAAGGAAACTAGCGACAAGGACGGTGACGACGAGAAGGACAACGAAGAAGTGTAGAGGTTCAGGGGGTTCTAGGCAATAGATTTGGGGAGCGTTGTCTGGTGGGCGTGGGGGCCGTTGGGGGCGGGGGCGTGCAATGCGCCCCCAGATGGTAGCATCCAGCGTGGATAGTGATATCCGTCAGCGACGTGCACGCGCATTCCCAATTAGGCACAAGTCCACGCCCAATCTATCAAGCTTGTTCCTGACTGGAGTCGTGCTGGTGTCCTCGGGGAGGGGCTCTCGAATCTTGGCCGCTGAGCTGCAGCGCCCCGTCGCTAACGAATAGAGTTTGCACTTTGTCTTCGTGCAGGCTTACGAGCGCAAGCTGTGGACTTGGCATGGAAACGTCCATCGAGTTGTTAGGCCGCCTGTCTGCATGCCATGGTATGCTCGAGGTGTTTTGCGCTGCGCGCTGCAAGTATGTCCACGCCAATGGCGAAGCAGCATATGGGTTTCCTGATGCTTCGACTGATGCTGGCCGTGAAGGTGGGCAGGGCGACATTGCTGCCGATGGCGTCGGCGCTAAGCCAGGGGGTCCTGCCCACGACTCATGGCAGACAGAGAATGCACTTCAAGGGGTGCTGGGCATGAAGCTCATCAGTGGAGATCCATTCGCACGTTTGGTTTGGATGCGTTTGTGCGTGGAGCCGCTTGAGTTCCCGCGGGCAGACAAGTTCGCGCTCGCGGCAGACGAGCTCGAGGCGGCGCAGAGGGCAACATAATTGAATCAACCACCAGGGCCTGCTGGGGAAGGTCCACCACGTCGATCCATTCGAATTCTTGAGGCTGCCACGGGCTTTCACGAGGAGCGCGCGCGTGCGACGCTGAGATTGCTTTTCAGACAACCCGGTATGTGGGCGCTGATGCCAGTTCCCCCCCTCCGTGGGCCCCAGTGTGCTTTGGCGTTTCGGATCCTGTCAGCAGCGGGCGCGCCGCTGGAGGAGTTGTTGATGAGCGTCCGCGGGAACTGCCCACATCGCTTATCCATGGCTTTGCCGGGCGGCGCTGCGCTGGATGGCGCGCTTTCCGACGCCCCCTGCGTTTGCGATTTTCAAGAGATCGGTTGGGGCGGCGTGGTTCGCGGGCGCCCGAGGGCAAGGCGCCCCTGGCGTTGATGGCGATTCTTGCTCGGGCAGAGACTTCGGAGATATAGTGCTTGCATGGCCCCCTGCGACGGCTATAATGCCCCATGAGGTTACAAACCCACCTGCCGCCCTTCGGGCAGGCTTCTGCGACGTGGATGTCATCGAGGCGGGGGGGGGGGGGGGGGGGGGCGAGATCCGAGCAACTTTCGCAACCGAGCTGCTGCCGACGACGCCGCCCCTGGACCCCCGCCCGAGACCGAGGGCCAGGCGAACCTGCAGAGTGGCACTGCGCCGTGGGGGGGGGCGGGGGCGCGCGGAAGGCGTTTATCCGCGCTGAGACGCGCGGGGCTAATGGGCGACCTGACTTGCGCGCGCTCGCCGAGCAATGCAGACGGTTGAGTGCAGAACGAGCTACCGAGTTGAAGGCGTTTGGGGGCCAGGCTACTACGACGCGCAGCCGCAATCCAGACGCGAAGTCATCTGGCCCTACCCAGGGTGACGCAGGTACTTTTCTTCAGGCTCGCGCCGACGCTGCTCAGATTCAACAGCTAGCCCAGGAGCCCACTGCCGTTCAGATCTTCGGCATGGCCATGTCTGTTGCGAAACAGAGCGAAGGTTTCAGATCAACGCGTGGTCATTCTTCGGCGTGCCGCAGAATTCGGGCAGCGACTAAACAGTCGAAGCTTTGGGCGGCTGAGCGCGCGCGCAAGTTGCAGGCGCATCTGGATGCCGATGCTCGAACCGCCGCCAAGGAACTGTCTGATATGTTGGGGTTGCCGGACAGCTGACACATCGATCTCTTCCCAGTGCCCTGCCGCGCTTTTCCTGCATTCGAAGTTCACAGCCAC